ATGAGAGAGAGAGAGAGAGAGGCTGTGTATGTATGAATTACCACCGTTTTGCCGCATTTCTCTATTAACAGTGAAGCTGTGGCTTTAATTCCTTTAGATACAATGATGTTACCAGCTCCTTGTTGAGAAAGATAATGTAGCTCTTCAGCGATTAAGCTATTTTATTGATAATATTGCGGGGCAGCGCTAAAAAGTTTGTCTAAAGAATGTCTGTGCGTGCGCGCAGAGTGATCTAACTAAGGTCAAGGTCAGTTTATTTATATAGCACATTTAAAACAGCTAGTGTATGCCAAAGTGCTGTACATATACCAATAAAGTAAATATAGAGATTAAGAGAATAAAAAGAAATGACTCAAAAACACATAATCAATACAAAACACATTAACATACACAAACATACATTTCATCCAAAAGCCAAGGAATACAGATAAGTCTTCAGGCGGGATTTAAAAACAGGAAGGGAAGGCGCAGATCTAATGTCCAGAGGTATGCTGTTCCATAGTCGAGGACCGGCTACAGAAAAAGCCCGATCCCCCTTAAATTTCAAGCGAGAGCGAGGTATATGCAAGAAAAGTTTATCAGAGGATCTGAGAGAGCGAGAGGATTGCTATAAGATCAGATCCAGTGTGTGGCCATGGTCATGAGTAGCGCCAGAAATATGCTGTGTAAGATTAACAGAGTCAATGAGCTGAATAAAGTCCCTAACCATTGGCTTGGAGGGGCAGCAGACATGAATATTAAAATCACCAAGAATAATAAGACTGTCCGTAGTAGGCACAATGTTTGACAGAAAACCAGCAAAGTCCTGAATAAAATCCTTATTGTAATTTGGTGGCCTGTAAATTAGAGCACAAAGTACTGGACAAGGCAACTGAAACTGGAGTAATTGAACTTCAAAGGTATTATAATGATCCGTAGGCAGCAATCGGCACTTAAAAATGTTTCTAAAAACCGACGCCAAACCTCCACCTCGCCCCATAGTCCTAGGCGAACTAAAAAACTGACAGTCATTTGGGGACAGTTCAATTAAAGGATCCAACTCACCGCTGCGAAGCCAGGTCTCCGTTATAAATAAACAATCCAGGTCATGAGACTTAAAAAAGTCATTTAAGATGAAAGTTTTATTATGAAGAGATCTCGAGTTTACCATAGCCAGTTTAGTAACATGAGTAATTTCTACACATAGATAGCACCAAAACGTACAGGAAAGACAGCAGAGGACAGGAGCGACGGCAAGCCAACACCCACAATGGCGCCATCTTCTAAACGTGTGTGCGTGAGCTACAGTGAAGACAGCGCATTAGTTTAGAGCTCTTCTTATTTTTATTTTTTAAATGTAGAGAGTATGTTGATTTGTTCAATGATAACCTACCAGCAATGTTAAGATGATTTTAATATATTAGAATGAGTACATTACGTACTGTGGTACAGTTATAGTGGCCCTTCATAATGCAGAGGTCAAGGGCCTGTTCTGCCAATAGTTAGCAACTGCCCTATGGTATGCAGTGTTTAATAAACAGCTTTTTTACTAAATTCTTCTGAGGTGAAATTCAGTGCAGTCCCGTATCGTGATACATATCGTACCGTGGCCTCTGTATCGTGATACGTATCGTATCGTGACTTTGCTGGTGATACACAGCCCTAGTAACTGGCGAAGGGCCCGGTTCAACACACGCAGATCCAAGATTGGTCGTAACCCACCACCTTTCTTGGGTACAATGAAGTAAGGGCTGTAAAGCCCTGTATTCATATCGGCTGGAGGGACCGGCTCTATCGCATCCTTCGCCAGTAGGACTGCGATCTCCACACTCAAGACAGGAGCATCGACCACCTTCACTGTCGTGAAGTGGATGCCACTGAACTTGGGGGGATGCCGGGCGAACTGAATTGCATAGCCAAGGCTGATGGTCCACAGAAGCCAACGAGACGGGTTGGGTAGCGCTAGCCAGGCACCCAGA